ATCAGCCTAATCAGATTTGTTACATCTATTTGTGATGACTCACTTAAATTTGACAGCATGCTGCTTATCATTTGAGCATGTATATGTGTTCGTGTTCTATCTAGCCTCAAAGTACAAATTGTAAGATGGCAGGAATCCTAACTTTTACATATTTTGTATTTGGATTTTTTAGAATATATTTTTTAAAAATGTCAATGGACCTTAATTTTATTTCTTTATATGTGGTGCTGAGAATCAAACCCAGTGCCTCACACATGCTAGGAAAGCACTTTACCACTGAGTCACAACCCCAGGCCCAGCATTAGGATTTTTTAATGCTTAAAAATTGCAAAAATCATTTATTGTGCTTAGGTATCTTAATATATATTTCAGCTATAACATTTATGGCACACCTGACTATCACTAGGAGAAATAACTAGCAAATTATAGAACCAGGAAAAATCAGATGACTGCTCAGTAGCTCACAATATAGCTGTTTCATTTTAATAAAAAAATAGTCAGTAGTAAGGCTGGGCATAGTGGCACATGCCTGTCTGTGATTCCAGTTACTTGAGAGCCTGAGGCAGGTGGACTGTAAGTTCAAGGCCAGCCTTAGCAACTTAGAGAGAACCTGTTTCAAAATTAAAAAATGGAAAGGGATGGTGATGTAGCCCATCAATCCCCAGCACCAAAGAAACAAAATTGTATGAGTGTACCTTTTTCCCCACATCCTCATCAATATTTATTGTTGCTTGTATTCTTAATAATGACATCCTGGCTGGAAATCTCAGGGTAGTTTTAATTTGCATTTCTCTAATTGCTAGAGATGTTGAACATTTTTTCATATATTTGTTGATTGATTGTATTTCTTCTTCTGTGAAGTCTCTGATCAGTTCCTTAGCCTATTTATTGATTGGGTTATTTGTTGTTTTGGTGTGAAGTTTTTTCAGCTTTTTATATATATCCTGGAGATTAATGCTGTGTCTGAGGTGCAGGTGGCACCCCATTCTGTAGGCTCTCTCTTCGTGTTCTTGATTGTTTTCTTTGCTGAGAAGAAGCTTTTAGTTTGATTCTATCCCATTCATTGATTCTTGATTTTATTTCTTGCACTTTAGGAGTCTTGTTAAGGAAGTCAGTTCCTAAGCCAACATGATGTAGATTTGGGCCTACTTTTTCTTCTATTAGGCACAGGTTCTCTGTTCTAATGCCTGACTCCTTGATCCACTTAGAGTTGAGCTGTGCAGTGTGAGAGAAAGGAGTTTAATTTCATTTTGCTTCATATGGATTTCCAGTTTTACCAGCACCATTTGCTGAGAGGCTATTTTTTTCTCCAATGAATGTTATTTGCATCTTTGGCTAGTATGACATAACTGTATTTATGTGGGTTTATCTCTGTGTCTTCTATTCTGTACCATTAGTCTATGTGTCTGGTTTAGTGTTAATACCATGCTGTTTTTGTTACTATAGCTCTGTAATATAATTTAAGTTCTGGTATTGTGATGCCTCCTGCTTTACTTTTCTTGCTAAGGATTGCTTTGGCTACTTTGAGTCTCTTAGTTTTCCAAATTAATTTCATGATGTTTATTCTTTCTTTCTTTTCAAATCAGTCTATTTTTTAAAGTTTTTTTTTTATTTTAGTTGTCAATGACCTTTCTTTTATTTATATATATGTGGTGCATAGAATTGAACCCAGTGCCTCACACATGCTGGGCAAGTTCTCTACCACTGAACTACAACCCCTATTTTTTCTATTTGTATGAAGAATGTGGTTGGAATTTAATAGGAAATGTATTAAATCTGTATAGCACTTTTGGTAGTATGACAATTCAAATTCTAAAGGTTATAAAATTAAACTTCTCTGACCTCCAGAGAGGGTCATTTTAGTTAACTGGTACTGTAATGATTAACTAAATTTATCTTCATTTTTCAAGTCACTGATTAGACTGAATCACGAAATATTGAATCATGGCACACAATCAGTAAATGTTGATCAGCCCAAACGAGGTGTTTTCTGTGGAGTGAAAAGTCTAAGCTTCAGGGGACTTGGGTTCCAGCCTCCACTCTACCCTACCTGCCATCTGTATGTTCTTGACCAAGGGATTGCATCTCCAAGGCCCAACTTCCTCAGTCTTACAATGGGAATAATTTTACTTTAGGCAAAGGAAATTAAGAGATTCTAAAGAGATATTATGGGTGTGAAAATTCTCTGTGAATTCCCAGAGTACCTGTAAACATGACTGAAAAAACATTGTGTATTTGGGGTCTTAACAAAACTTAATTTTTTCTACTTCAATTTGAAATAACTACATTAATTTCACATAATTTTTACAGTAGAAATACTGCATGAAAATAGCTTGCATCCATCAACAGATGAATGGATAAAGAAATTGCATATGTACACAATGTAATATTACTTAGCCTTACAAAAGAAGATACTGCCACTTGGGCAACAGGAATGAATCTTGGAGGACTTATGCTAAGTGAAATAAGCAGACAAAGAAACATACTGTATGGGGCTGGGTGGTTGAGCACTTACCTAGCACGTGTAAGGCAGTGGGTTCGATCTCAGCACCACATTAAAAAAAAAAAAAAAGACATGCTGTCTATCTACAACTAAAAAAGAAATATACTGTATGAGCTCACTTTTATGTCATATTAAAAAACCAATTTAAATAAATAGAAGCTGAGAGTAGAATGGTTGTTGTCAGGGGTGGGGGGTGTGGAGGAGGAAACAGGGAGAAGTAGGTCAAATTGTACAATTTGCAATTAGATAGGATGAATAAGTACAGAGATCAAGACACAACATAAGGACTAGAGATAATAATTCTTTATTGTATACAGGAAATTTGCTATAATGATGGATTTTAGGTAATTTTACTCCAAAAGAAAAGTATGAAAATTGATGGATTACTAGTAATGATTTCACTAGGTATATCAAAACATCATGTACACTTTAAGTATACACATTATTTTATTTTTTATTTTTGATACCAAGGATTAAACCCAGGGGCACTTAACCACTGAGCCACATCCCCAGCTCCTTTTTATTTTATTTTAAAAATTTGAGACAAGGTCTTGCTAAGTTGCTGAAGTTGGCTTTAGAATTTGGAATCCTCCTGTCTCAGTGTTTCCAGCCACTGGAATTACAGGTGTGTGCCACCCACCCGGCAAGTTTATACATTAAAAGTAAAATTGAAAATAGAAACAACTGGGGGCTGGGGCTGTAGCTCAGTGGTAAAGCACTTGCCTCGCATGCGTGAGGCTCTGGGTTCCATCCTCATCTACAACTAAAAAAAAGAAAAAAAAGAAAAAAGAAACAACTGCAATAATCAATTTAGAAAAAATAAACAACTGCAGTAATCAATGTCTTTGCAAAATACGTCTTTGCAAAGCATCGCCATTAGTGATCTAGTGATGCTTATCATTCCAGTGATATTTGGAGCCTCATGACCACTAAATGTCACCTCGGATTCAGGTGTGCGCATTGTGGCCCTTCTGTGCTGCGGTCCCATCCCTCACCAAAGTACCTGCCTGATGTTCTATCATCACCCTTGCTTGCCGCGCATTACTTTATTCCTTCATTCCCGACAATGACAGGACAGAAAAGAACCGAAGCAGGAGCTGTCGCAGGAGGCGACTGGGGCATGGTTTCTTAAGCCCTCTCCACTCGGAGAAACCTACTTTCTCCGGGAGAGGGCAGAGAAAGACTGGAATAGACTCTTCTGCCATTGAGCGTCTTCCTCGAGAGAAACACGGATTTGAACAACTCTCCACAGGTGAAATGACTTCACGAGGGCTAAGGAAAGCAGGTGAGGGACCACAGCACCTGAGTATGGCATAAAGACAAGAAAAGTCACATTGAAAAGGCATTACTCTTGTCACCCTTCCCCAGCCCGGGGCAGCGCGGCACAGAGATGTCCTGTCCCCTCGGGAGAAAGGGAGGGATGGGAGCCCTGGACTTTGCTTTGCATCCTTAGTTAGCTGTGCAAAATTTCACTTCTGCAATAACGAAAAGGGAGAAACGCTAATTTTGACTTCTATTTTTACTTGGTCTCTAAGGAACATTTGGCCTTGCCATTTTGGGAACAGCCAGTGTGTTGGACATTCACACTAAAAGTATTATTATTATTATTATTATTATTTTTTTTTTCTTCCAGAAACTGTTCTCTAGGCAGCTGTGGCGAGGCCATAGCGCTTCAAACCTAGGACATCAGAAGAGCTCATTCCAAACCCAGTTCCACCACCTTTGAGCTGTGTGGCACCAACCGGTCTCCTTCTTGTTCTCTCAGAGTCTTTTTTCCTCATTTGAAAAATAAATAATTTATAATCTCTGTCTTCAAATGCTTTACAGGGTGTTTGATGGTGAGTGTATGTATATTGCTGGCTGGGAAGGGAGGTGGGCGGTGGGGAGGGAAAAAAAAGAAAAGAAAGGAAAGGTGTGTATATTAGCTACTTGCTGAGTGCTGGTTATTCAAGATGTGTGTTATGTTAGAGGCTTCATGTTAGACATGTTAGCACAGTACCCGAAAATATTTCACAATACTTTCTTTTTCAAGGAAAATATCTGAGTGTTTGAAAGGCAATACTGGAGAAATATTATTTTTTGTATAAGGTCTAAAACACATGGCTAAAACAATGTCATAAACTCCCAATGGCCATCAGTCTAAGAATCCAGAATGAACAATTTTTTTGATCAGATACTTTACTTCATTTGTTCTCAATTCTGACAGCTCACTGGAGCTGCTTGGGGTGTTAAAAAACAAAAAACAAAAAACAATACCAAGGCCTCACCCCAGACTAGTTACACCAGAATCTTCAGGGTGGGGCTCTGGAAAGGAGAGTAAGAATAAGAACACACTATTTTCATGTTTTTCAGTTGGCCAGAGTCCATTCAGAAGGAGATCAAATTGCATGTAGGTGATTGGTCATTGCATCAAACAGTGCAGTGATTCACATATTGAATGAGCAGGGAGTGTTATAAAAGCTTTGCATTTCAAGCTTGCTGTTGTCTTTGGTAAGAAGAGGAGGTTGTAATGGATCTAGTCGTGGCCCTGGTCCTTGGTCTCTCCTGTCTGCTTCTCCTCTCAGTATGGAGACAGAGCTCTGGGAGGGGGAAGCTCCCACCTGGTCCCACTCCTCTCCCAATTATTGGAAATATTCTGCAGATGGATTTTAAGGACATTAGCAAATCTTTAACCAAAGTAAGTATGCTTTATGATCCTTTGGTGGCTTGTAAAGGATGAATTATTATTTCCTATTTTAATAAAATTGATTATTGGAGGCAGATTATTTTATTGTAAAGCATATAATCCCTGTGAGTTATTATTTTTGGTTTGTCACTGTCAGAAATAGTGGAATGATATGTGTTTTCCTAGGAGGGTACTATTTAAGTTATAAGATGGACTCAAAATGATAAAGTTCTGTTACCTTTCATGGTTTCACATCTTTTTCTGTGATTTTTCTTTTGTCTGAAGGTAAATGGTATTGGCTGTTTTGAGATTAAAGATTTTATGCGAGAAGTCATCTGCTGTACATGTTGTGTATTTTGTTTAGATTAGTTATAATAGTTCAACTTCTCCAGAGAAGCAAATTATATGTGATGTCAAGGAAATACTGTGGGTCTACAATAAGTAAATGTGAATGAAATAAATAATTAGTGAGGGATAATTGAGTAGTATCAGGATATTTTGGTCCTGTGACCTGTGAATGTACAGCATGGAAAGAATTGTCCTTCCATGGGATGCTGCACGTCCTGACATTTCTGTGCTGTGTCCTCTCTCTTTCTGAGTTAATAATGTTGGTGGATTTCAAACTGGTCTGTGCATTAGAATCATCTGGGGAGATGTTTAAAAATGGAGATTTCTGGTATTTATCACAGGGCTGATGAGTCAGATCCTCAGGGGAAGAGCTTAGCAGGTGATCCTGAAGCTGTGTCCTATAGCAGCTGGGTATTGGTCCAAATGTAGACATTGAGGACTGTGAAATTGCCTTAGGTAGAAGAGATCAACTAAGCAAGGGTTCAAGTTTGGGTCGTCTATTTATTAGCTATGGGAAACTGAAATGAATTTGAATTTTTGAACCTCAGTATCTTTAACTATATGACAGAATAAATAAAGCTACCTCAAAATGCTGATTCATTTTTGACAGTCTACCTAGTAATTTCCCTGGCAAATGGGAGTCATTGTTTATGTAGAAGCTATAACAATCACCATCTTAATTATATATGAAATCCAGAAATATTTGAAGTTGTGTTTGACAAAAATGTCAACAGTATGATAATATTGGTCTGAATCATGAACAATATGTAGACCAAATACTGATTTCTTTTGTTGCTCTTTGCATCTACTTTCCATCTTCCAGTTCTCAAAAGTGTATGGCCCTGTGTTCACTCTGTATTTGGGCTTGGAGCCTTCTGTGGTGTTGCATGGATATGATGCAGTGAAGGAAGCCCTGGTTGATCTAGGAGAGGAGTTTGCTGGAAGAGGCAGTTTCCCACTGTCTGAAAAAGTTAATAGAAACCTTGGTAAGTGTGCCTGTGCATGAGTGTGCATGCATGTGTTGGGCAGTGGTCCTGGTATGAGGCTTGAATTGATCCCCAGGCAGATTTTGGCCACCCATGTAGCTGCTACATGTCAGTTTTCTCTTCCTTGCCTGGGATTTCCCTTCTAGTTTTTGCTTCCCATTCTGATAGGAATCCTCTTCAGCAATGGAAAGAGATGGAAGGAGCTTCGTCGCTTCTCCCTCTTGACCCTGCGGAATTTTGGGATGGGAAAGAGGAGCATTGAGGACCGCGTTCAGGAGGAAGCCCACTGCCTTGTGGAGGAGTTGAGGAAAACCAATGGTGGGTGGTGATTCTTTGTTCTGTAATCATTGACCATATCAGACTGCTCTCTTCTCTAACAACACCCTGGAAATACTTTAGGGGCAGCCAAATCTTTCATTAAGAGTAGTGGTTGTTAGTCTTCATGTGCAGGAGGGATGGTGTGATGAAGAGAGCCAGGGGAGCTTCTGTGTATCTGTGCTTTTGTGTTTGTACACACGGTGCATAAAGTGTGGTCATTTTGTTTATTTATTTATTTTTGGGTGGTGCTGGGTATTGAACCCAGAGCCTGGTGCCTGCGAAGCAAGCACTCTACCAACTGAGCTATATTTCCAGCCCCTAAAGTGTGGTCATTTAATGCTGTTTTGTGTCAAACTTCGTTTTGAATCATGTCACCAAGAAAGTTTGAGTCTTATTTTTCAAATTGTGAAAGAATAATGTTTTTCCTATAGTGTAATTGTGGGTTAAGTATTTTAAAACATTTCACTGGTAAACACTTGTCAAGTAGCCCTGATTGTAGTAATCTGCTACTTTTGTGGAGGATGAAATAACACACATGTACTTTCGGTTAATTGGTCTGCATGCGTACAATCAGCTTCACTGACTGACATGTCTGGAAGGTTCTTTCGAGGTCTGTGCCTACAGTCTTCACCAGTAATTGTGCTGATCTGTGGTTTTGACTCCCTTAGCATCTTTAATGCTTTTTTGTTTATTGTGATTTCCTTGTAAACAACAACTATTTAAAAACTATCAGTTTGAGTTATTTACTGTTTCTCACAACTTGCTGAATTATTTTATATATTTTAAGAAAATTTATACTCTAGTATAATCCTTCAAATTACAAAAATACTGGGTTATAAAATGGATTTGTTGAACTGAATTTCAACTCTCATTATTAACTCTTTATCCTGACTTCCTAGTTGTAAGGTGATTCTGTTTTTGCTTTCCTTGTTTTATTTTCTATTTTTATTTGTGTAGTAATCACTTTTTTTTTGTTTTCTGATGGTTTGACATCTTAGAGTACCTCTGCCAGGGATACTTAGTTCCCAGAGATAGCAAATAGCTTTCCTACCACAAGATTTTGGTGTACAAAACAATCTATCCATAACCCATACTTCCAACCACCTGCTGTATCAAATTATTTTACACCAAGCCAATATTCTTTAGAGCTGTAAATCACCCCAGGGACAGTTATGGGACAGTTAGTGATTATCTCCATTGCCCAGAGCACATTGAGAGTATTCAAACTATCAAATTACTCAGCACACCTATTCTGCCTCACTCATTCCTTCCCATGCAAACCCCAATAAAGGTCCCCTGTTTTCCCTTGCTCCTTCTGCCTCCTGTCCAACTGTGATGCTTCTTCTTGTGCTGCCTGCTCCATTGTGGTGTGGCGGCCCCCTTCCCTTGGTAACAGTACCAAGCCATCTTTTCAAGGGCAGCCTCATCTGTTGACCTCATCATATCTGAATAAAAACAAAATCCTGGGTGAATTTTATAACAATTGGATTTGGGGTTAGAAGTTTTATGGTAATTATTTGCTCCTCATTGTCCACTCTACTTATCTATGAAATGCTTGTCACAATAAGTCTGATTTTGAGCTTGATTCTAAATTACTTTGATACTTAATTATCTCTTCTCAAGGAGGTGAAAGGTAAGATTGAAAAATCAGATTTTCACTGTGAGTCACACTCCCCGCACTACCAGAAATCTCAAATTGACAATTGTAAATTATCCCCTGTTTTCCAAGCTAAAATAAAATTTTAGTACCATTTTGTTTCAGCTGACAAGGAACCTAGCATAAGAGGAGTTATCTACTAAAGATGCTTCTATTGTTGAATTCCCTATTCTTCTTCACATTTAAAAATATTGACACATAATAATTGTACATATTTTGTACATATTTTTGGGATGCCATATTGTAACTTGACACATGTATGTAGTTTTTAATGATCAAATTAAGGTAATAAGCTTTTCCATCCCCATAAACATTTATCAGTTTTTTAAAATATTTTTTTATTTGTTGATGGACCTTTATTATATTTATTTGTATGTGGTGATGAGAGCAGAACCCAGTGCCTCGCTCATGCTAGACAAGCACACTACAACTGAGCCACAACCTCCCCATCAGTTTTTTTGTTGGGGCAATTTGAATTCCTTTCTTCTAGTGCTTTGTAATATATATACACTTAACATAATATTCTCCAATTTCATCTGCAAATGACAGAATTTTATTTTTTGTGTGTCTGAACAAAATTCTCTCATGGAGGAGTCCATATGGTGGTGGTGTTTTTGATATAGTTTATATATATATCTATATATATAATGATATAGTTGATATATATAGTTGATATAGTTTATATATATATAAACTATAGTTATCCTGCTGTGCTGTAGAACACTGAATTTATTCCTTCTATTTAACTATATTTTGGTATCCATTATCCAACCTCTCTCTGTTCTCCCTCCTCCCTACCCTTCCTATTCACTAATCTACTTTTGTCTTCTCTGAGATCACCTTTTTTAGCTTCCATGCATGAGTGAGAACATGCAGTGTTTGTCTTGGTGCCTGGCTTATGTCACTTAACATAATGTTCTCCAATTTCATCTGCAAATGACAGAATTTTATTTTTTTTGTGTCTGAATAAAATTCTCTCATGCGTATATGTCACAATTGCTTTATCCATTCATTCCCTATAGATATCTCTGTTGAGTTCATTGTTTGACTGATGTGGATAGTCTGTACAACCCTTTGAATTCACTCTTGATTACATCTATAAACTTGTGGGCTTTTAAAATTTAACATTTATTGATGATTTGATTACAACAATCTCATTTAAATGTCCAAAAAAAGGAAAGATTTTCTCTACTTTTTCTTAAAGAGAGAGAGACAGAGAGAGAGAGAGAGAGAGAGAGAGAGAGAGAGAGGGAGAATTTTTTAATATTTATTTTTTATTTTTTGGCAGACACAACATCTTTGTTTGTATGTGGTGCTGAGGATCGAACCTGGGCCGCATGCATGCCAGGCGAGCGCGCTACCGCTTGAGCCACACCCCCAGCCCCTCTACTTTTTCTTTTTCTATAAAATGATGGAATTGACTTAAATGATTGTGAAATTTAAGAAATATATAACATACAGCGATAACTCAAGAATTCCACCAGAGGGCAGGCTTTGCCCAAGTAAATTAAACCTGAGCGGTTTAATTGTGGACACTATTTCCTAGGACAGGACATTTTTTCTCCCGTTCAATATTGAAATAAAGAAATAAAAGGACTCCATAAATTTAAACTTTTGTGTTTACCCTATCTGTGATTTAAATTTAAAATGAACTTTTTAAAAATTTCACTTTTATTTTAGGTGAGCAAAATCTATCTTAGAATTTGTGCTCATTTTCATTAGTTTTTCTTTTCACACAACATGTATGCTTTTGCCTTTTTACATTTGTACCATCCAATACCTGCATTTTTTATAGTTGTTCTCTTTAGTCTTCCCCTCTCCTAGTTATACATACAGTTCCTTCAACTATTCATTAAATCTCTGCTACCCATGGAGAAGTCCATATGGTGGTGGTGTTTTTGATTCCTATTATAACTTAAAGGGAAACTGTCAGAATGTCCGGAGCCCTTGATGTCCTGCAAACGAAGGAGAAGGATATCTTCAAACTCATTACTGTAGGAACCCACTTCGGTGGCACCAACTTTTCTTTCTAGATAGAACAATATATCTACAAAAGGAAAAGTGATGGCATCTCTATCATAAATCTGAAGAGGACCTGGGAGGAGCTTCTGCTTGCAGCTTATACTATTACCATTAAAAATCCTGCTGACATCGGTGTCATTTCCTCCAGGAATACAGTGCAGTGGAATTTGCCACTACCCCCAGAGCCACTCCTATTGCTGGCTGCTTCATTCCAGGAATGAATTTAAATTTAAATTTTAAATTTAACCAGTTCTAGGCTGCCTTCCAGGAACTGTGTCTTCTGGTGGCTACTGATCCTAGGGCTGACCACCAGTCTGTCTGAGGTATCTTATGTCAATCTGCCTGCCATTGCTCTGTGCAACACAGATTCTCCTCTGCTCTGCGTGGACATCACCACTCTATGCAACAAAAGGGGTGCTCACTCTGTGGGTCTGATGTGGTGAATGCTGGCCTGGGAGGGTCTGTGTATGTACAGCACCATCTCCTGTGAATACCCGGGGGAGGTTATACCCGATCTCTACTTCCACAGAGATCCCAAGGAGATGGAAAAGAAAGAGCAGGCACTGCTGAAAATGCTATGACCAAAGAGGAATTTCAGGGTGAATGAACTGCACTGGCTCTTGAGTTCACTGCTACTCAATCTGAGGCTGCAGGATGATCCAAAAGGTACAGGTGCCCTCTGTGCCTCTTCAGTAGTTCCCTAATGAAGTTTGGAGCAGTCACTGAAGGTCTGAGCTTCCTCTGCTTAGACCACTGAGTGGTCTTGAGCTGTTCATCTTTTAAAAAAAATTATTATTATTATTATTATTATTATTATTTCATTCTACATAATAGTAGAACCCATTTTGTTATGATTATACAAGCATGGAATATGTCTTATTCTGATTAGGACCCCAGTCTTGTGGATGTACATGATGGTGAGTGTCACTGTGGTGCATTCATATATGTATATAGGAAAGTTATGCCAGATTCAGTCCACTGTCTTTCCTTTTCTTATCCCTGTCCTTCCCTTCATTCCCCTTTATCTAATCTACTGAACTTCTATCTCCAGCTGCTATTGTGGGTTAGCTTCTACACATCAGAGAACATTTAACCTTTGGTTTTTTAGGATTGGTTTATTTCACTTAGTATGATAGTCTCCAGACCCATTCATTTACAGGCAAATATCACAAGGTCATTCTTCTCTCTGGTTAAGTAATACTCCATTATGTTTATATACCACAATTTCTTTATCCATTCATCTGTTAAAGGGCACCGAGGTTGGCTCCATAGCTTACCAATAGTGAATTGTGCTACTATAAACAATGATGTGGCTGTATCACTGTCGTATGCTAATTTTAAGGAGTGGGATAACTGGGTCAAATGGTGGTTCCATTCCTAGTTTTTTGAGAAATCTCTATACTGCTTTACAGAGAAGTTGCACCAATTTGCAGTCTCACCAATAATGTATAAGTGTATTCTTTTCCCCACAGCCTTGCCAACATTTATTGTTACTTATATTCTTGATAATTGCCATTCTGGTTGGAGTGAGATGAAATCTCAGTGTAGCTTTTGTTTTTTAATAATACCTTTATTTTATTTATTTTTTTTATGTGGTGCTGAGAATCGAACCCAGTGCCTTACAAGTGCTAGGCAAGTGCTCTACCACTGAGTCATAAACCCAGCCCCCGCAATGTAGTTTTAATTTGCATTTCTCTAGTTGTTGAGCTAAAGACAGTTAAGCAAAATGGAAATAAAATTATGGAAAATAACACTAGTTAAAAAAAATGGGTTTCCAGGTTGCTGTTTTCTTCCTTTCTATAAAACTATCTATAAGCTTTCTAGAGAGATGTGATTTACGCTGATAACTTGAATTATTAGGTATTTTAAAAATATATTTTACATTTTTTTCTTTTGCCTTCCAAAGTAATTGTTAGTGAATGTTTGGGGCTATGATGTATGTGTGTAATCCCAGTTTTGGGATGCCGAGGCAGGAGGATCACAAGTTTGAGGCCAGCCTCAGCAATTTAGCTAGGCTCTAAGCAACTTAGCGAGAACCTGTCTCAAAATAAAAATTAAAAAGGGCTAAGGATGTGGCTTAGCACCCCTGGGTTCAATCCCCAGTACCAAAAAGAAAACTGTCACTTTGGGTTAGAATTATGTAAACAAAGGTAGTGATGCCAACAGAATATTAGGTAATTATTATGAAATAAGCTAGGACAGAAAGATAAATTCAGATTTAGAGGAAAGAGATGTGTTGATTTTAAGTATGCTGAAGTTTTTACTGATAGGGAATTTCTAGGTAGATACTTAGATTTTCTAAACTTATCTTTATCTGTTATGAAAGATGAAGTATCGAATGTATATACATGCATATTAATGATTTTTCATGTTTCCAATTCTTTAGGCTCACCCTGTGATCCCACTTTTATACTGGGCTGTGCTCCCTGCAATGTGATCTGCTCCATTATTTTCCAGAAACGTTTTGATTATAAAGATCAGAATTTTCTTAACTTGATGGAAAAATTCAATGAAAACCTCAGACTTTTAAGCTCCCCATGGATCCAGGTGAGATCTTTTTGAGAAAGCATGTATGCTCTTTTCTCTGAGCAGTCCACAATTCCAGAACTGAGCTATGAAGTGAATGTTTGAAAACTGGATATTTTGTATACTCTGATTTGGCAATCCTCAAACTTACACTTCCCTTTCTCTTTAGGGTTTAAAATTTTTTTTTTTTGCTGTTGTTTTTCTTTTCTTTTTCGTTGTTGTTATTTACTTTTTGTGTTCTATAGCTGTTGGTATTTAGTGACTTTCTAAATATTTTTTAAAAATATCTGTTCTTTGTCATGTGTTATCTCTGAAGTCTCTAATTCTTGAGTTCAGCTAGTTTTTGGTCCTGGAAATTGAATCCAGAGCTTTATGCCAAGTGGTCTACCACTGAGCTACTTCCTTGGATCTTGAAAAATTTTTTGTTTTGTGACGGGGTCTTACTAAATTAGAATCCTCTGCCTTAGTCCCCTGATGAGCTGACGTTATAGGCTTGCACCATCATGGTAGGCTAGTTTTGATAGAGATTCCTTGGCTGTGAGGAGGAGAAGGAGAAGAAGAGAGAGAAAGGAGGAGAAGGAGGAAGACAAGAATTAGAGATAGATAAGGGGAGTAAGGGGAAAAATATAAATAGGAGGGGAGAGAGAGAGAGAAAGAGGAGGGGATGAAAAGAAGTGAAGAAAGAAAAAGGAAAGAAATAAAGGGAGAGAGGGAGGAACTCCCTCCAGATTGGCTCTATGCTGGGCACTCCTTGTAATAGCCTGCACTTGCTCTTAAGCAGGCTAGAGGTCAGCAGAGGTTAAAAACTTAAGTCTTTTCTTAGCCTGTGTCTTGCCCTGGGCCTATTTGTAATTTGTTTGAATTTATCAGAATGTGTGGGCGCTCTCAAATGTCCTAATTTTTCAAAGAACCGTCTCCCTAACTTTCCTTCCTAGGCTGTTGTGCCTTCACTGTACTCTTTTGCCCTGGCTGGCTCAGGGTTGCTTAGTGGCATTATAAAATAATTTTTTTCCAGATGGGGCATTATGAGATTTTTGATATTGTCATTGCTTTTCTGCCCAAGTGAGTTCTGACTCAGATGAAGCAGATACACAGGCTTTACTTCTGTCTTTCAGGTAGTCCTCGATAGGTTACAAGAGAAAAACACAATCTCTGTTCCTCTGGAACCAAGAACCAGGGTCCCTCACTGGGAACAGGGCTGCCCACTTTAAGGCCACTGCCAAGCCCGGGAGGGAGGTGGGAAGAGCAGAAGCAATGCCACAAAGCTCTCTGAGTTTTTAGGTCTTTTTTTTTTTTTCCATTTGGTTTACCCTTTGTAAACATATGACTGTCTTCCAGAGTTCTGATGAAATTGATTCTGCAGCTTTTCCAAGATATAGAATTTTTTTTTTTTTTTTTGGTGGTGCCTACTGTGAAGTAAATGTTTAGACACCACAGTCCTGTCCAGATCTTAGTATCATGGTATGAACCTCTCAAAAAGGTAGACAGCCCTTCATTTTTACAAAGACGACAAATGCCTGAATCTTGGGGTAGAATTCAAGCCAGTGGCTAGTGGTTTTCCCACCAAACCTCTGTTTCTGGCAGCACTTTGGTGACTGCCCCAAAGCATGTCCAGGCACACAGTGGACGTCCAGGGCTCTTGTTGAAAAGTTTCCATGACCCACAGGCTGGTCTGCCAGTCAACACTAAGGAGCTCTTCATGACATTACTTGGCAGCAATATTGTAATTTAGAATATCAAGGATGGAGAATGTTGGGACACAGCTGCTGCCAGGATCCTCTGAGTAGTGAGTGTGTTTGAGGCTTCAGCTGGGATCCTAGTTGAGAAAGTGACCAGGGTCAAGATCCCAGAATGATTGGTTTTTGGTGTGAATGAACCATAAGCAAACATCACACTATGACCCTGTGTTGAGCTACTGTGCCCTAAACTCTGCCTAAAAGATAATTGCATGATTTTATAGGAGTTATTTAACCACTCTTGTGCACAAGTGCTTGTCTATAAAATGCAGTGTTGGTTTTCATGGTATCTTTGCACCCCTCCCAGTTACAAAATCGTAATTCTGTTCCTGAGGCTTATTGCTGGTGGAAGGAATAGCAGGGAGTGGCTGTGTGCTCTGTATCAGGTTGTCCAAACGTCCTTAACCTCTGTGCTCATGTGTTACATGTGAATCATAGCAATTCATGGCATTCTATATTTCAAGGTTGTAAGTGAGAGAAGTGACATAAAGATGCCCTAATGCTGTAAAAAATGTATCAGGATGGGACATTCTTCTCATGTTTGATGACGTGGTCAGTTTATTCCCATCTTCCTGTCAGCATGAAGGACTTCTTCATTCGTGCAATCACATGCTGCTCAAGTTGGAGACCATTTTTTGTTCACTCCAGTTTTTAACCTGGGCTTAAGTTGGATTATTATATTTGCCTATGTCTTCATTACATGGTTTTAACTTAATAAATGTCATTTAATTTTTAAGGTCTACAATATTTTCCCTGCTCTCATGGATTATCTCCCAGGGAGTCAGAACACAATTATTAAAAATTTTGATTATGTAAGAAGTTATGTTTTGGAGAAAATAAAAGAGCACCAAGAATCTTTGGATGTCAACAATCCTCGGGACTTCATTGATTGCTTCCTGATCAAAATGAAAGAGGTAGAATGTTATTTGCTTGCATTTTGTGGTTCATTGATAATATCTTTTACTTATTGGGGATGTAACTGGTCAGGCAAGAAATACTTGATAAGCACTTAAGTACCTAGTGTGTACATACATGGATCTGGACTAAGCATCGTGGAAGATTTAAAACGGAATTGTTTAACATTTATAGTACATAGGCACTGTTTTTAAGCTCTAATAATCTCTTTGAGTAAAGAGAGAAAGTTCACCTCAGGTAAGATGCAAATTCAAACCTATAGAAAATACAAAATATCAAGCCATAAAATAAAAGTTGACACAGATACATCACACATCATATGGGAGAATAAAAAGGAAGGGTTTAACCTAGGTGGGAGTTTTAGCCAACTTTTTCATCATTGTGACCAAAAGACCTGACAAGAACAATTTCAAAGGAGAAAAAGTTTATTAGGGACTCATGGTTTTAGAGGTCTCAGTTCATACAGTCAACTCCATTTCTCTGGGTCTAAGGTGAGGCAGAACATCATGGGAAGAGTGTGGAGGGAAAAGCAGCTCAGGATAGGGCCACCAGAAAGCAGAGAGAGAATTCCACTCACTAGGGACAAAATATAAACCCCAAAGACACACCCCCAGTGACCTTCTCTAGCCACATCCTACCTGCCTACAGTTACCACTTAGTTAATCCACATTAGTGGATTAAGTCTTTGATTAGGTTACACTTCTTATCACCTAATCATTTCACCTCTGAATGTCCTTGCATTTTCTCCCATATGATCTTTTTTGGGGACACCACATATCCAAACTGTAATGTTGGACTTCCTACATTTCCAGAGGTTTAATATAGATCTTTTAAGTATTTGCAGTGAGAAACATGGGACGGAATTTTAGATGGATAGTGATGTAGTGAGAATTCAGATGTGTGTGGTGGCAGAGATAGAGGAGAGAATGCTACTGGAAATGAATCTGAACAGATAATGAGGGGAAGATATTTGTTAAATACTCTGCAAACCTGATTGTTGGCATGAAGAGTTTTTATTTGGTCAGGTATGTACGGGCCAGAATAACAATGTTATGCAAGGAAAATTATTCTGGGAGTTCTGTAGAATGGTCTATATGGTGACAGTTGAGCTTATAGATTAGCTATGAGATTTTTTTCATCTCTTTACACTTTGGATTAATAAATGTCTGGATTATAGAAATGCAGATTCTGAAATTCAAGTTATCCACCTTATAATATTCTCAGATATTTATAGATTTTTATTTTAGTGGAGTAGATGGGAGCCAAATAATAGGAACTGTGTGGGAAATTTCAGTATCAGGACAGTTGTGCCATTTGATAAGTTTAACCAAGTAGGAAAAGACTGGGATAGTGAACTTGAATGGTGGTAGGGTCAGTTTGGAAACCGAGAAGTACATAAGCACACTTGTATAGGTACAAAATTCTATTTACTGGAAGAGGAAAAATGTAGAAGAATCTGGAAAGAACCAACTTTAGAGAATAAATCTATCGTTTGTGTCCACTATTATTTGACTCCACCACTTTGTAACACTTTGAAAAAAGTAAGTCAGTGGGCAGTGGGCTAAGGTGGCAAGGAATCAAAGTGTGACTTTTATAAAATTTTCTACAGAATTGTTTATGAATTTGAGTTTGGCCTGTTGTAGATGAAGTGAAAAAGAGGGAATAGTTCAAAGAAAAATGGTGAAGAGAAGAAGGAAATCACTTTGACTCTCTGTCTTGTCTGTTTCTAGGGCATGATCATCATGCAGGGTCTAATTAATTTGAAAATCTCATTAAAAGTATGGACATCTTACCAAAAACATGGACCTACATGAGTTCTTTATATTTGATACACATTGAGAGGGATTTTCTTGATGCTATTGAGCCTCACCATTAAGCTCAGATTATAGTGAACTCTAAGGTCTCTTGTACTTCAGTCACCAAAGGCTGTTGCCTCAATACTGTATTTAAAACTGTGTTGTTCCTTGGAGCTCAGTATAGTATTAAAAATACAGGTTATTTTATTTTTTGTTGATACTTTTATTAGCTATCATTTACATACTATCTCTGTATAGATTTTAAGTATAGTTTAATACTCTTACTATTTTCAGAGAGTTATGGAACCTCAACTAGAATCAGTTTTAGAACATGTTCATCACCTAGAAAACAAACCCTAGTCTCCTTCATTGCTCCCAAGCCTTCAGATTTAGGCAATAGTGGTCTACTTTCTGTCTTTATAGATTTGTTCTTCTGTACATTTCATATGAATGGAACTACATGGTGTATGGTCTTTTGTGACTGGCTTTGTTCACTTTTGTCATAAACCTTTCAAGGTTCATTGATGTAGCATGTATCAGTACCTCATCCCTTTATATGATAGAAAAATATTTCAGTGTCTTGATATATTACATTTAATGTTTTCATTCATCGGTTGTTGGACATTTAAATTGTTTCCATTCTTTGTCTATTATGAATAATACTAGGAATCTTTGTGTATAAGGTATTGGTTATACATGTTTTCATTTTTCTAGGGATTCCACATCACAGTGGAATTGCTCGCTGATATTGCATCTCTATGTTTAGCATTTTAGATGCAGGGACCTAAATGTAAGAGCTAAAAATATGAAAACCTAGAAGAAAACATAGGCATGAAATTGGCTCCACCATTTTAAAATCTCTCTGCAGTGTATGAGTGCTCCAGTTTTCCTGCCTTCTCACCAAGGTGTCTATCTTTTTTATTCCAGCCATCCTAGAGGGTGTGAAGTGTTCTTTCACTGTGTGTGTTGTGTGTGTGTGTTGGTGTTTGGTACCAGGAATTGAACCCAGAGGTGCTTTACCACTGAGCTACATCCCTTTCTCTTTTAATTTTATTTTTTTTCATTTTGAGACAGGGTCTTGTTAAGTTGGCTTGGGCCTGTGTATACTAGATACAAGTTCCTTATACTGATATAAGGATCGAAGATATTTTCTCCCATTTTGTGTATCACATTTTCAATTTCTTTAAAATGTCTTTTGAAATAGAAAAGTTTTCTTTTTGTGTGAAATTCCATTTTGATTGCTTGTAACTTTTGGGTCATAACTAAGAAACAGTTACCTAAACCAAAGTCATGAAGGTTCACTCTAAGTTCTCTTTTAAGGGTTTTATAATTTTAACTATTACCTTCATGTACATGATTCACTTTTAGTTAAATTTTCATTGTGTGAGGTAAGGTTCCAACTTCATTCTTTTGCATGTGGATATCCAGTCATCCCAACATCTTTTGTTGAAAGTATTATTTCCACATTGAATGATCTTGGAACATTTGTTGAAAATCAATTGACTATATATGAGGGTTTATTTTGGGGCTCTTAATTTTATTCCATTCATCTATGTATCTTTCTTTCTGCTAATACCACATAATTTTAATTAATGGAGTTTTTAATTTTGAAATCAGGAACTGTAATGACTCCAGTTCTGTTCTTTTCTAATTTTGTTTTGGCTCTTAAGGATTTAGGTCATGTGAAGTTCCATAAAAAATTTAGGATAATCTTATCAACTCCTGCAAAGAAGCTTGTAGGGATTTTGATATGGATCCCTTTAAATATTTAGACCAATTTGAGGAGTAATGTCATCTTAACAATACTAAGGATTTTAGTAGATGTACATGAGATATCTTTCTATTTATTTAGGTTTTCTTTAATTTTTTCCACAATGTTTTATGTAAGCTAGCTGATTTCAATTACTAGTCTAGTAGTGTAATTTGTACATAACCACAGATTCTTTAAATTCATTTGAACTGATGCAAATATGAGTATTGGTTTATAAGTGTTGTACTCTTTCCTAACCTTACTGTAATTTTGAGATGACAATCTTAGAAACTGTGTGAAGTTGATGTTACCAATAGGGATGATTGATTACGTTTGCTTACCAAGTATTCCTGTTGAGGAGTATCTATTTCAGTTGGGTTGATTACATAATATTAAGCATGCCACAGGTCACTTCAGAATTATAGGAACCTTATTAAATTAATGCTGATCTGGAGCACTGGGTAGGAATGTTAAATTGGGTGGTGTTTGTTAAAGACACACTCTGAGGTCAGTATTTCAGATTGCTTCATGTTATTATCAATTTTCTCCTCCTCCTCTAACTTCCCCTTAGAACTGCTTTTGGTGTGTCCCATAAGTCATGATATATTGTTTCCATTATCAGTTATTGCAGGACATATTTTTTTTTTTTTTTAGAGAATTTTTCAACGTTTATTTTTCAGTTCTCGGCGGACACAACATCTTTGTTGGTATGTGGTGCTGAGGATCGAACCCGGGCCGCACGCATGCCAGGCGAGCGCGCTACCGCCTGAGCCACATCCCCAGCCCCTGAAGGACATATTTTAGTTTTCCTAATAATTTTTCTTTAACTCAATAGTTGTTCTGGAATATCTTGTCTAATTTCCATGCATTTGTGATTTCTAGCCTTGATTCCTCTCATTATTGATATTTAGATTCATACCTTTGTGGTCTGAAGAGATAATTTGATAAAGTTTCAGTCTTTTTAATTTTGTTAAGACTAGTTTTGTGGCCTAATCCATGATCTACCTGGGAGAATGTTCCATGTGCACTTGAGAAGGTTGAGCATACCACTGTTGGATAGAATGCTTTTTATGTCTATTAAGTCCATCTGGTCTAAAGTGTAGTCCAATATATTTATACTGAATTTTTGTCTGTATTATCTATCTGTTGTTAAAAGTGGGATACTCCTATTTTGGTGTTGTAATCTATGCATTCCCTCAGATCTCTTAATGTTTAGTTTAAATGTTTACATGCTCCAATGTTGGATGCATATATATTTATAATTGTCATATCTTCTTGATGAATTAGTCAATTTATCACTTCATAATGACCTTCTTTGTCTCTTTTTAGTGTTTGACCCAGTGTTTTGTCTGGTGTAGATGTAGTTATCCCTGCTGTCTTTTGGTTTTCATTTGTATTGAATGTCTTTTTCAATCCCTTCACTTTCAGCCGGAGTGTTCTTGAAGGTGAAGTAGAGTCTTATCTATGTATCATGTAGTTGGGTCTTTTTTTTTTTTCAGAAATGTTGTTAGTTTTTTTCCTTCTTTTTAATATCTTTGTTTTATTTATTTATTTATTTTAAAAAATGTGGTGCTGAGGATTGAACCCAGTGCTCAACCACTGAGGTACAAGCTCAGCCCCTTGGGTCTTATTTATTAATGCACTCTCCTCACCGTGAAATTGGGATCAGGTGTTTATCTTTAACTCTCTCTCTACTAATCTAGGGGGAGGATCCACAAATGCCTGCACTCAAATTCCAATCATTCTCTCTGATCCTGGGCAGATAGCTGCTGGAAGTGGGCTTACTATATATCCTTATCTTTGTTTTCTGTGATTTAAGGACACAACTGTTTTCTGTGATTTAAGGACACAACCAGAGCTAGTTGATTAAGGAAGTGGTTCCTTAGGTGAAAGCTATAGAAATTGTGATGCTCAGTGCATAGACAAGCCCCTTCCAGTGCAAATGGGTCGACTTGTTTTTATTATGGGGAGAGGGGGCATCATGAGGGAAGACTAAGGAAGTACCAAGCTCTTCTCAGGCTGTCAGAAATCTACTTGTTGGGTTGGTTAGCTCCCTGATGCAGGCTAATTAGAAGCTCAGCTGTGAGTAGCAGCAGTTGGCAGGGTATGCTAGCACATCTCTTCCAGATAGGAACTTTGACTTTTATGCTCTATCTGCCTCAATTATTGGGTATAAATCCCCTGGGAATGCTTGTGCTCCTATATAAAACCACTTCCCCACCCCCCTGTGGTCTAGAGAGACTCCTATATGCCTAATTCTTCCACTCCCAGAGTTAGTAAATTTTGAGTAAACTGGGAGGAACCTTTGAATTAGGGTGTTATGATGTGGTCCAAACCTGCCTCTTCACTGGGTGTTGGGGATTTCATCCCAGATTCTGTGGTACAGTGTTTGGAGTGGGATCATGCATAAGTATACAAGAGTTTTTCCTACTTGTTAGATGTAGACATTTTCGCTTCACTTGATTCTAAATTTATCTCACAGGTAGTTGATATAGAAATAGATGTTTACTTAGTGCATGCATGTGTAAGGGGAGAGTCAGGAGCCTTTTATTCTGCCACATTGCAGAATTGCAAACTCTTTTTTTTTCTGGCTTATAACATTTTTTTTTCAAGATTTGGCTCTAACATAAACATTTCTATGAATTAAAATTGTGTGTGTATACCAACAGGAGAAAACCAAGTTTAACAAGGGCTTCACAAAATAGTGTATTTATTTCACATATAAGGAGTCTCATGCTGTTTATCTAGAACTAGTGCACTAGTCCTGAAGCATTATGGACACAGGTACTTGTCATTTTTCATTACTACATTTTGTACATGAGCTACCTTCTCCTCCTCCTCCTTTGTGGTGCTACATTCACTGCTAAACTATGTGATTATTACAATTTTAATACTAAATTCTGTATTGTTGAAGTTTTCTCTTCTTTAGAAAAACCTGAGTTATTTGGTTTCACTATAATAAATATGATGGAAAGTTGTCAAATAATGAAATAATCATGTAATTCCCAGGGAAAGGACAATCAACAGACTGAATTTACCATTGAAAACTTGTTAAACACTGTAACTGATGTGTTTGGAGCGGGAACGGAGACAACAAGCACCACTATGAGATATGGACTTTTGCTCCTGCTGAAGCATACAGAGATCACAGGTATGACCACATACAGCAAGCAGGGTGAATTTCAGAAAGATGTGAAAACACTGATAGTGTCCTCCATCTTGGGTCTCTGAGAAGCTCCAGTATTAAAATTTCTGTGCCACTAGCTATAATTTGTGCAAATATAATGAAGGTATAAAAATAAGATAATTGGGGCTGGAGTTGTGGCTCAGTGGTAAAGTGCTCGTCTAGCACGTGTGAGGCCCTGGGTTCAATCCTCAGCACCACATAAAAATAAACAAATAAAATGAGGGTATTGTGTTCAATTACAATTAAAAAATAAATATTAAAAAAGAAAAAAAGATAATTTTTCAAAATAGGTGAGCAGAAGCAAAGGAATAGAGCTTGAGGTGTTAGTGAGAAAGTAATCTGTGGAAAGAAAGTACTCTGGGTAAAGCATCTAGTACAAGCATAATGGACTGGAATAAGCTTATATATTGTTTTTCTGAGTAACAGACCACCCTTTTTTTTTTTTTTTTTTTAATTTTTGGTACCAGGAATTGAACACAGGGGCATTTTGAGACAGGGTCTCACTAGGTTGATCGTAGCCTTGCTTAGTTGCTGAGGCTGGCTTCAAACCTGTCATATTCCTCCCTTAGACTCCCAAGCTGCTGGAATCATGGACATGCACCACCATGCCTGGCAACAGACTGCTTTCAATGGTGTCTTAGCCCATATTTTTTTTTTGTCTATAACAAAATACCTGAAGCTGAGTACTTTATAGAGAAAAGAGGTTTATTAGTTGCCATTCTGGAGGTTTGAGACCATGACATTGACATCTGCTCAGCTCTAGTGAGGGTCTCATGGTGGATGGCATTAGAGTTGTGTGAACACATATGAGGGTGATAAGTGGCCCATGCAGAAGGGAGATTCAGGGTAAGAAGTAGACTTTCTTCTAACAACCCATTCTCTTGGAAGGTAATTTACTCTGTGAGGCCACTTAACACCTTCTTAGGGTAGAACTCCTGTGTCCTAATTACCTCCCATTAGGCCCCAGCTCTTAAAGGTTTCACTTTGTCTCATTGCTACATTGGGGACCAAGCTTCTAGCACATGACACTTCAGGAGAAACACTGAAACCCTATCAAAACCATAGTAGTATATTCTTAAAGAGCTTTCCTTATTCTGAAAACAAAGTATTCTAATGCTGGTGCAGGGAAGACAGAAATTTATTTAAGCACAGTAGATATTCTAGAAATATGATGAGACAGCCTGAGAATATTTATAGTCTTGGAATTATTTTAAAAGGTTAGATTTATAAGAAAGGTATTTCCTATTGAGGGAGAAGATGTGCCCAAGGAATTTTATTATTCTAGAATTCTGAGTGCAGAAAAAATATATTTGTCAAGGTAAGAATTTTTCTTGGGTCAATACTTTTTTTCTTTTAAAAATACTTACCATTTAAAAAAATGATTTGCCTTTAAAAGACTCTGGTTCTGCATAGTAGATTAGCCACACCCTTTACATTTTTCTGGGATAGATGATGACAAATTAATTACAAATGAAAATTACTCCTGTTGAAATTAGAGAAGTACAGGAAATAGCTAACAAGTCTTTAGGAAACTTTAGAGACCCAAAGAGCAGATGGCAAGTGACAATGTTTTGGTAGGACACTGCAGTTATAACCTTAATTCACAAGAAGATTCATCGTGTACGCAGGCTAATTTTGTCCCTGCAATTCCCCATAGAGCTCAGTATTTGGAAGAGCCAAGTGGCAAAGAAAGTAGAGGGAGAATGAAGCAGGAAACAGGAGGCTCTTCCCCTGGTTCCTTCCTCATCTTTCTTTATTAGTGATTTTATTTCCCCCCCCTGGAGCTAAGGAAAGCTAACTCTCTAAAGGAAATGGAATCTTAGAGGTTCAGCACTCAGGGACACAGAAAAAGGCAGAGAAAGAATGAGGTGCAGTCTGAAAAGAAGGGCTAAAAAAGAATTCACTCAAATTCCAAGGTCCTTAGCTCTGTCTTCATTATGCTTCTGAAATTCAGCAGCCAGATATAAACTCCAGAGAATGAGTAGTGCCAGAGGAAAGACCTCTATTTTTTTTTTTTTTTGCCAACTATAAAGAAAATGTTCACTGAATGTCCAGAAAAAGGAATGTAATGAAAATATCCACCCATGGAATTTCAGAACACTACACTTAAGGGAGAAATTACCAATACTTTCAGAGATAAATCAAGTAATTATATAAAGATTAAGAATCAGAATGGCATTAAAATTCTCACAAGCAGCTCTCAGCTTGTGTACTCATAGACAAAGGATAGCTTCAGATTTACAAGTTGACGAAAAAATTTACTCTCCAGTCTTCTTTTACTCTGATGATTATTTTCTTTGCTGTGCAGAAGTTTTTATTTTGATATCATCTCATTTGTCTATTTTTGCTTTTGTTTTCTGTTCCTTTGTGGTCTTGTCCAAAAAATCCTTGCCAATTCTGATGTTCTAAAACATTTCCCTTATATTTTCTTCTAGTAATTTCATAGTTTCGGGTCTTATATTTAAGTCTTTAATCCATTTTGAGTTGAATTTTGTAAACAATGAGAGATACAGGTCTAGTTTCAGTCTGAGGCATGTGGATAACCAATTTTTACTTATTGAGAAGACTGCCTTTTTTCCAATGATTGTTTTTAGCACTTTTGTGAAAAATCAGTTGACTGTAGAGGAATGAGTTTACTTCTAAGATGTTTATTCCATTTATTGGTCTCTGTGTCTGTTTTCATGCCAGTACCACACTATTTGGTTTCTTCAGTCATGTAGCATATTTTGAATTTGGGCAGTGTAATGCTTCCTGTTTTTGCTTAAGATGACTTTGGCATCAGGCGCTGGTAATCCCAGAAGCTTGGGAGGCTGAGACAGGAAGATTGTGAGTTCAAAGCCAGCCTCAGCAACAAGGAGGAGGCTGAGGCAGGAAGATTGTGAGTTCAACACCAGCTTCAGCAAAAGTGAGGCTTGAAGCAACTCAGTGAGATCCTGTCTCTAAATAAAACACAAAATGGGGCTGAGGATGTGGCTTGCTGGTTGAGTGCCCCTGAGTTTAATCTCCAGTACCCTCTCCCTCCCCAAAAAGATGATTTTGGCTATTCAGGGTGTTTGTGTGTATGAATGTTTGCATTCAAATTTTAGGCTTGTTTTTTCTAGTTTCTATGAAGAACACCACTGGTGTTTTCATAGAGACTGCACTAAACCTGTAGATTGCTTTGGGTATATGACATTTAAAAAATATTGATTCTTCTAATCCATGAACACAGAATGTCTTTCCATTTTTTTGTGTGTACTTTTCAATTATTTTCATCAATGTCTTATAGTTTTTATTGTATGGATCTTTTACCTTTTTGGTTAAATTTATTCCTAGATATTTTGTTTAATTTTTTGAAGCTATTGTAAGTGGGATTTCTTTCTTGCTTTTTATTTCAGATAATTTACTATTGGCATATAGCAGCACTACTGATTTTTGTGTTTTGTATTCTACAGTCTTGTTTAATTCATTATTTTCTAACTTTTTTTGTGTGTGTAGAATCTTTGGTTTTTCTGTGTGTGAGATCATTTTATCTGCAAACAGTGATAATTAGAAAATTAGAATTCCCATTTCCAACTTGGAGGACATTTTTTTCTTTCTCTTGCTTGAATGATCTGGCTAGGACTTTTAGTACTATGTTGAAAAGTGACAAGTAGATATTCTTGTCTTGTGCCAGATCTTAGAAACATTCAGCTTTTCCTCATTCAGTGTCATGCAGTATAATTGAGATGATCATATGGTTTTAGTTCTTTGTTATGCTGATATTTTGTTTCATATTATTGATTTGCAAATACTGAATCATATTTGCTTCTCTGAATCCCACTTGATCATGGTGAATAATCTTTTAAACATGCCTTTGGATTCTGTTTGATAGTATGTTGTTGAGGATTTTCATATCTTTGTTCATCAAGAATATTAACGTGTATTTTTTTTTTATGTACCCTTGTCTGATTTTGGTATTAGGGTAATGCTAGCCTTGTAAAAGATGCTTGGAGAAATTCTCTCCTCTTCAATGTTTGGGAACAAATTAAGAATTATTGAACATCTTTAAGTGTTTGGTAGAATTAGCAGTGAAATCATCTGATCCTGGGTTTCTCTTTGATGGGGAACTTTTTAATTGTGGATTCAATCTGGTTACTTTTATTGGTCTGCTTAGGTTTTCTATTTCTTCAAGATTCAATGTTGGTAAGATATATATGTCCAGTAATTTGTCCAATTGTTTTTTTTTTTTAGTTTGCCAAATTTGTTGTGGATAGTTATTCATAATAATCTCTAATTATTTTTTTATATATCTGTGGTGTCAGTTGTAATGTCTCCCTTTTCATCTTTGTTTTTATTTATTCGTGTCTTTGTTCTGTTTTTGTTAGACTATTTCAGAGTTTCTCAACCTTTTCTTTTTGAAGAATTAGCTTTTTGTTTCATTGATCCTTGTCATTTTTTTAGTCTCTATTTATTTCTGCTCTGATCTTTATTCTTTCTTTCCTTTTCCTAATTTTGTTTGTTCTTGTTTTTCTAGTTCCTTGAGATGCAATAGTAGGCTGTTTATTTGAGATTTTTCTGATTTAAAAATAATTTATTGGTTCATAATAATTATACATAATAGTGAGTTTCATCATGCCATATGTGTGTGTGCACACAATGTAATTTGATCAATATTATTCCCCAGTGTCTTTCCTTTCCTTTTCTCCCTCTTTTCCTGACTTGCTTGCTCTACTCTATTGATATCCCATTATTATTATTATTATTATTATTATTATTATTATTATTATTATAGTGGGATTTGAACCCAGAGGCACTTTACCACTGAGCTACATCCCCACTCCATTTTATTTTTGAGACAGGGTCTTGTTAAGTTACTGAAGCTGGCTTTGAACTTATGATCCTCCTGCCTCATTCTCTAGAGTTGCTGGGATTACAGGTGTGCACCTTGAGTCCAGTGTCCCTTCTATTTCTTTCTGCTTGATTAATGTAGGTATTGGTTGCTATAAATATTTCATTTGTTTAAAGAAATTTTATTTCTCTTTGATTTTACCCTTGACCCATTGGTTGTTCAAAGTAAGTTATTTAATTTCCATTTATTTATATAATTTTGAAAGTTTTGAGTACTATGAACTGAAATGCATTCTGCTGTCATGTATAACAAATTAGAACAAATTAATAAAATAACTAATAAAAAATCAGAAAAATATGCTAGTAAAAAAAACTCTACATGTGCTCTCCAGTTCGCTTCACATTTAAAATTCTTGATGTCCCATTTTATGTCTTTCTATGTTTTTATTTTCTCACAAAGATACTAGAGGTTATACTTTATCCAAATATCTGAAATCAAGTGAACTAAAGTAACAGGCTCTAGGAATCAGGATAACTCATATACAAAGATGGGAGTGTGCTAGGCCCCAGGTCGAGGGAGTAGCCACTTCAGGATGGACAAGGTGATACTATAGGTGGGAAGGGAGTCAGTTTAATTTGATGCATTTTGCTCAGAATGTTTGTATTTATTGTATTAATTTGATATGAAGTTAATTCTTTTTTATTATTTTATTATTTATTTATTTATTCATTTAAGAAAATTTTTATATGGTGCTAAGATTTGAACCCAGTACCTCACTCATGCTAGGCAAGCACTCTGCCACTGAGCTACAGCCCTAGCCCATGAAATTAATTCTTATTTTGTGTTTTTTTTTCCTGCAAGGACAGTAATTTCTTTAGTTCATAATGTGCTAAATATTTATATAATTCAAGTTTTTAAATCATTTCTATTTTTATTGCTATCTTATATGCTATTGTGAATGTGTTTACAGATTTGTCTTAATGCCTACATTGGAAGAGAGTTGTGTGTACCTGTAAAAGCAAATCTAGATATACTTATGGCTTTATAATACTGTTGGCACACCATTATGCTTCCTGTAGTCCTGAAATGTTATGACAAATATGCCATTTTTTTCCTTTTCCTTCAGTTCTTAATTTTGTCTTATCAGCTAAAGTCCAAGAAGAGATTGACCATGTGATTGGCAGAGATCGCAGCCCTTGCATGCAGGACAGGAGCCGCATGCCCTACACAGAGGCTGTGTTACATGAGATCCAGAGATACATTGATCTCATCCCCACCAGTCTGCCCCATGCAGTGACCTGTGATGTTAAATTTAGAAACTACTTCATCCCCAAGGTGAGCTTGTCTCTTACACTGTGCTTCAATGCTCTTGAAGTTCCCAATTTTAGAGTATGTTTCTGATCCTTTATCAACACTAGATGAGGTAAGTGCAAAACTCATATGTGTGGCAGCAATTAAACTGATGTTTTCAGTTTGGGTTTATAAAGTTATATAACAAGTCTTGATTTGTGTCTTACAAACTTTTTCTGTTAATTTTTTTGGCTGCACTTAGGTGTTCACATTTTAAAATATGTATCAAAAGTATGAGTTTGTTGGGCTGGGATTGTGGCTCAGCGGTAGAGCGCTCGCCTAGCACGGGTGGGACCCAGGTTTGATTCTCAGCACCACATAAAAATAAAGGCATTGTGTTGTGTCCATCTACAAAAAAAAAAAGAAAAGAAAAGAAAAAAAAAAGATTCTCTCTCTCTCTCTCTAAAAAAAAGTATGAGTTTGTTGATTTCCCAAAACGTGTTTGCTTATTTACAAGTGACATTAAATCTATAAATATATTTGGAAAGCATGTTTTGATGTGTTGAATCTTTCAGTTCATGCATATAATTATGCTCCCAATTCATTTAGGCTTTCTTTAATTTTCTCAATATTGTTTTGTTTTCAATGCATTGGCTTTCCTATCTTCCTTTGTCCCAAAATAAATGATATTTTTGATGTTAATGTGACTTGTATACTTTTAAAAATACCTTCTTTATTTCTTTGTTTCTGGTATATGGCGATAAAATTTACATGTGAGGACTTTACATCTAGAAACCTTGCTAAATTCACTTATCATTGCTAACAATTTGTAGATTGATTTATAATTTTTGTGTATAGGATTCTGTGATCTGGTTAATATTTGTTTTATTTGCCCTATTCTTTTACTTTTATGCCTTCTTTTTAATCAAAATGCATGTACAATTTGATCAAATATATTCTCTATATCTGTTAATATTGCCATATATTTGGTCTGCCTGTACATACAGAATAACTATGTAGGTGTTTGTGTTTGTATGTATTTAAAAAATTCATACACCCACAGCTCAGTTTGAATTGCTAAGTTTTGCTCAGAGTGTTTGTATTTATATTTATAATTAGTCTCCAATATTTTTTTTCTCAAATTTTCTTTTTCAAATTTTTGGCATCAGGATAGTGATGGCTTTGCAAAATAAGGTAGGTAATATTCCCTGCTGTGGCTACATTCATTTGTCTTTACTTCATTATCTGTACTTTTTTGTGTTCATTTGCTTTACAGTGACAAATAAGTTTTGTTTTGGTGTCAATTATTACATTTGAACAAATGCAGAATCTTAGATGAGGTTTATTTGTTCATAAAGTACTTGTCTCTCCTCCACTCGGCAGATGAATTCTTCCCTTCTTGCAGAATATAATATGAAAAATTGACTGTAGCCATTAGCTAACCTTTCTGATCATGTAGGGTGTATTCCAGGAATGTAAGGATGGTTTAATATATAATCAATAAATGTAATACATCATATCAACAAAATGAAGGACAAAAAACCCATATGATTTTCTCAATATGTACAGAAAAGCCTTTGATAAAATTCAACATCCCCTTATGATCAAAAGCCCTCAATAAATTAGATAAAGAATGAATGTACATCAGCATAATAGAGGCTAAATATGATAGAATCACAACAACATCATATTGAATGGGGAAGAGCTGAAATCATGTCCCATAAGATCAGGATGCCTGCTTTTGCTATTCTTAGTCAACATAGCTGAGAGCAAGTCAGCAAGAGAAAGGCATCCAAATAATAAGAAAATAAGAGGTCAAATTATCCTCTGTTTGCAGATATGATTTTATATAGAGAAAAATCTGAAACTCTCCAGTTAGATCTGACAAATTCAGTAAAGTTGCAGGATAAAAATCAACATACAAAAATCATATACATATGTGATATATTATATCACATACATGTGCATTTATATATATGTGCACCTATTTTTAGGTGAATTATGTGTATAAAAAAACTGGACTGATTTCTAAACTGTATGAACCTTTCACAAAAGAAGTTTTGATAGTGGAATTATGTCAAACTAAAAAGCTTCTCTTCAGCCAAGGAAATGATTTAACAGAGTGGGGAAACGAACAGTTGAGAAAGTATTTTAAAACTATTTGTTCAATAAGGGATTAATATTCAGAATATGAACTTGTGATCCTCCTGCCTCAAATCTCCTAAGCTGCTGGGATTACAGTCTGGCTCTTATTGCTGTATCTTAAGTTTGCTCCTTTTTATTATGAATGGGATTCCATAAGGAGTATCAAACATTGGTTATTGGTTTGAAGTTCACTAATTGATGGACATTTGGTATATTTCCAGTTTTTAACTACTTGACTACAGGTGGTATGCACATTTGCATGCAGGTTCTTATGTGGACATGTTTTCCTTTCTACTGGAGAATACCTAGGAATGGGAATTTTTGCTTACGTGGTTACTTTAGGCCAAACCACCAAATGGTCTTGTGATGTGGCTGTGCTGTTTTATTTTTTTTTTTTTTTAAATATTTATTTATTTATTTTTAGTTCTCGGCGGACACAACATCTTTGTTGGTATGTGGTGCTGAGTATCGAACCCGGGCCGCACGCATGCCAGGCGAGCGCGCTACCGCTTGAGCCACATCCCCAGCCCGGCTGTGCTGTTTTAAATCTCCCTTCCAGGTATCCCACATCCCTTGTCGTTGTTAGTCTTTTTGTATTTTGGCCACTGCAGTGGTACCACATTTTTGTTTTCCCTTCTATTTTCTTCATAAATAATGTTGGCTTCTTCTCATATGTTGATTGGCCATTCATATATCTTCTTTGTTAATGTGTCTGTTCAAATTATATGCCTATTTTTTATTGGGTTGTTTATATTCCTATTTTTAAGTTTTTTTAAAAAATTAAAACTCATTATGGTAGATAAGTTTTGCAAATATTTATTCTCAGTCTGTGTGCCTTTTTTTTTAAAAATTTTCTTTTCTTTCTTAAGAATGTTCCTAATATAAACAATATAAACCCTAAAAACAAATGTTTGCTATTAAGATGTTTACAGTTTGATCACAATGTACAGAAATGGTGAATTTAATTATTATCTTGATTTATTCATATATTGACAGGCATCTGGGCTAATTCCCTGATTTGGCTAATGTGAATTGTGTTGCTATAAACATCGAAGTGAATGTATTGCTATATTATGCTGATTTTAGTTTTATTTTTAGGATAAATGCCAAGGAGAAAATGAGTGTATTGGTAGATTTACTCTTAGTTTTTTAAGGAATTTCCACACTGCTTTCCAGAGTGGTTGTACTAATTTATAGTGCCACTAACAATGCAGCTGTGTACTCTGACACTTTTTGAAGAGTTCAATCCATGGTCATATAAAATGTTCCTCAGCTTGATTTTGTGTGGTTGTTTTCTTGGATATTAGAAATCAGTTTTGTGTTTTGGAAAAGAACATTATATGGGTGATATCATGGATGTCCCACTGCATCAGATTATGGCTGATGGCACATGATTTCAGTTTGTCCCATTATTGGTGCTACTAAGATTCACACTTAGTATGGGGATGTGTGCCAGATCTCTTTATTGCTGAGGTTCTGTTATTAAAGTAAAAATAAAAAATAAGTTCAGAAGATTCTTCTTATTTAAGACATTATGAATAACCTGTTTCCAAATAACTCAACCAACAAGTTTTTATTTTTATTTTTTTAAATTATTTATTTATTTTTCTCTTCTTCTTCTTTTTCTTATTATTATTATGCATTACAATTCTTAATACACCTTTATACAACAATTTATCATATCTCTGTATACAAGATATGTTGACACAAAATTCACATCTTCATACATGTATTTTGTACAATGATGAGGGTCTCCTTCCACCATCCATGTAATTCCCCTTCTCCCCCCTTTCCCTCCCACTCCTCTTCCCTATCTAGAGGTAATTTTCTTCCCATGCTCTTCCTCCCTACCCCATTTTGAGTCACCCCCCTTATATCAGAGAAGACATTTGACATTTGTTTTTTGGGGGGATTGGCTAACTTCACTTAGCATAACCTGCTCTAATGCCATCCATTTCCCTGCAAATGCCGTGATTTTATTATTTTTTTAGTGCTGAGTAATATTCCATTGTTTATAAATGCCACATTTTTTTCCCATCCATTCATCCATGTTATTTTACTTTAGTTGTAGATGGACACATATATTTATGTATGTATGTATGTATGTATGTATGTATGTGGTGCTGAGGACCGAACCCAGTGTCTCACATATGAGAGGCAAGTGCTCAACCAGTGAGCCACAGCCCCAGCCCTCAACCAACAGTTTTAACATTAATTGATGATCCGTGCCCGACTTGATCCTACCTAAATTGTTGCAAAATGATGACTTTTCTAATTTTCACCCTGATGTGTTTTTAAGATAGGATTAATCTGTGAAGAGTTCCTCCATGTTTGATATCAAAATAAACATTACATTCCAATGATAAGCGCTCAATAGGTGTTAGTGTACTTGTTAATATCTCACCAATAGTCATTTTAAATCAGACCAGATCTCTAAAAAATCCACAATTATTTATTTATTTAAATAAATAATTCTAAATACTCCTGACTTTTCAAGAGTGAGCCCAAAATTCTATTGTAAACCATAAACCACATGTGAGATATGCAAAAACTGAATTGATGAAATAGAGCAACATGTGGAGACAGACACCAAGGTCCCAGCTTGGTGCTAAGTAGAATTCAGAAGGTCTAGCATCCATATTCCCAAGTACTCAGCCCTACAACTGCTCACAGAGGATGCTTTCACAAAATTACTGCTTGTGGCCTTAAACTCTTGCTTGGTTTGTCTTTCTGGAATTGTCACTGCTTGTCCTTGGACCTGGGTTTCCTCAAATATACATCAGATGAATTCCATTATTTCTTTCCATTTGACTTAATTTTTTTTAATTGTTGATGGAGCTTTATTTTATTTATTTATTTATATGCAGTGCTGAGAATCAAACCCGGTGCCTCACACGTGCTAGGCAAGCGCTCTACCACTGAGCCACAACCCCAACCCTCCATTCAACTTCTTTATTACTAATTTTATCTGTCTGTTGTTTCCAGGGAACAAGAATAATAACATCACTGACTTCCGTGCTGCATGACAATAAGGAATTCCCTAATCCAGAGGTGTTCGACCCTGAGCACTTTCTGGATGAGAGTGGCAACTTTAAGAAAAGTGACTACTTTATGCCTTTCTCATCAGGTAATAAAAATTCATTTCAATTTGTAACTTTAGGGAACAAGATAATTTTTTTTAGGAACAGATGCAACTTACATGGGTGCCTCCTTTGGAGCTGGTAAATTTGCTCATTGTACATTATCAAATTGGAGCTCCACTCCAATACCCTTGCACTTTCCCTTATTAGTGATGCATCTTCACTACTGGGTCCCTTTGGTGGTACTTTGCGGAATGTCTGACCCAGTTTTTCCAATGGATAAAGTTATGGCATAGTTTGGTTGAATTGTGCCTCTGGCTGTATCAACAATCTACTCAGCTGAAACTTCTAAGAGTATCACTCTTAGATGCCAAATAGCCTAGCATACATAATGGGCTCTTAAAAATCTCACTCCTGAGTTAGGAAGCAGATGAACAAACAGATCATTGTAATCTAGATCATTGTAATCATTGAAACCTGTGCTGTGAGAGAGGGAAACACAGGTTTCTAGGGAGGCAGAGGGTGAATTTGCTTTCATTCTGCTTTTTTTTTTTTTTTTTAGTATTTTTATTAGTTGTTGATGAACTTATTAATTTATTTGTTTGTATGTGGAGCTGAGAATTGAACCCAGTGCCTCACACATGCTAGGCAAGTGCTCTATCAATTGAGCCACAATCCCAGCCCTCATTCTGCTTTTTTATATCCAAAAACATTCTAACAAGGGTGTCGGGAGCCACTCTGGAAATACACGCCGTTAAGTCCTGAGCAAGAGATACTAAACAATTATTGTGCCCCACAATAATTTGGGCTTTACCTCTGCTCAGATAATAAGGCGTGGCTCCAGGAGTAGGCACTACCTGGTGGGATTGAGTTACACTCACCTATTCCTTTGTAATCCTACCTCTTGCCCTTTTTGGGATAGAATGTTCCACGGAATCTCCCCTTGTATGTCTCCTATATAAGAATAAAGAATTCCAGTGGCTCTCTCTTTCCACGGACCCCTAAGGTCGGAGAGTCACCTTGGATTTTGAAAAGGTACTTCTTTTGTGTGTTTCCGTGCTTCCTTTGCTGTTTTCTTAAGTTATTGGAATAGTCAGATTTGTGAACCCAGCACAGGTCGCCAGCTAGGATAGAAGGCGATACAAGGGAAAGAGGGTTGAGCTGGCTTACAGGAGGTGAGGAGCAAGGGAAGAAGAGAAGGCAGGGCACCTTACAGAAGTAATGGAGTCCAGGAGAGAATGTTTTCTATAGATCTAGGGGGTTAGAGCATACCAGATAAATGAAGGCTGAACAAAACCTTGGGAATGTGGAAGGATAGTCTGCAGAGATTCCAGAGCACCATCCTCTTCCTCTTCTCATGATCATGCATTTGGGAATTCTGTCTCATCGTTAAATTGTGTGTGCTGAGACTCTAGACATGGAATCACCTTCATTTTTTTTGCCATGGATTTTGATGCCCATGTTGGGCCTGGCACTGCCCATATCCAGATGTTAAGGACGGAGCCCTTCTTTTAAGTCACTCATATTTAGCTGGATAAAACAAAATAAGAGAAAATAGGATTGGAAGTGAGCCATGCTTCTGTGGAAGCATGACTATTATGAGAAAACTTATAGAGGGTGAGAGTCCACCACCTTCTAAGCATGCATTGTAAAGAGGATATGACAGGGACATAGGTCATGAAGGAAGTATAAGAGCAAAAACCTGTCTAGCACAGGGTGCCTGATAAAATGAGATACAAGTGGGTAGCGACTGTGACTAATCTTCTGTGCATCTGTCTCTCCAACCATTCTGTCTTTGACCCATACACATAAGTAATCATTCATCATATAAGTTACTGAATATTCTTTATAACATTTCAGAACCTAATGTTTAAGGAGGGAAAACTCTGTGTTTGTCATCTTTAGGAAAACGTATATGTTTGGGAGAGGGCCTGGCCCGCATGGAGCTGTTTTTGTTCCTGACCACCATTTTACAGAATTTTAAGCTGAAACCTGTGATTGACCCCAAGGACATCGACACCACCCCCATTGCGAATTCATTTGGCCGTGTGCCACCTTTGTACCAGCTCTGCTTCATTCCTGTCTGAAGAAGGGCTACTGGCTGCTGCTGTGCCACACCTGCCACTTCTCCTCCTTGGAGGCATCGTCCCCCTTCTCACTCTCAGGGATACCTTCTCTCAGCTCTGCCTCACATCCCCATCCCCTCCTGATCCAGTGAACATGCAGCCTTCATTAAGGAGTGTTTTCTGGATCACTGCATAAATAAATCTGCCATTCCCTGTACTCTGTAACTCTTGCATCGACCACCACAGGTTCTAATACTCAGTTACTAATATGCTATCATGGTAAAACAGCACAATAACTAATCTATGACAATTCGGAGCCATGAATTCCCTGCATGTTCTGAATAAAATGTACTGTTGTTGCTGGATCCGTTCTCAGAAATTTATTGTTGTGCAAAATGCAGAATTAAAAAAAAATAGGTCAAAACCACACTGAGATAACCACTTTGCATACATGAGGATGGCTGTTACAAGAGGGAGGGAAGGAGACAGAACAAGAACAAGGAAACAGGAGTGTTGGTGAGAATGTATAGAGGTTGGAAGGCCTGTGCACATGTGGAGAATGAAAAATGATGCAGCCACTGTGAAACAGAGTACAGTGAGTGGTTCCTAAACAAATTAAAATTGAATGATCATGTGATCCAATGATTCTACTTCTGGTTACATCCTCATGTGAAATAATTGCAGTGTATTAAAAAATATTTACACCCCATTTTTATACCACAAATCTCTTCACCAGTCCACACCCAAATATGGGTGTCTTAAAAAGTTGCTGACATCGATTATTTCCTAGAAGTATCTCTTGCTTTTCTTTACCACAGTGGTCCAGAATACTTAATGGAGGAGGAAGAAACTTTTTTTGTTGTTTTTGTTTGTATGTTTTTTGTTTGTTTATTTGTTTTGGGTGTATGTGATGCTAGAAATTAAATTCAGGGCATCCCTAATGCTAGGCAAAAGCTCTGTCAGCTGAATTACACCCCAGACCATGAAAGAGTGTTTTGATACTTCCAATGACTCTGTTGCCTGGGTGGCTCATAGGAAATATCATATCTAGGGAACAGTGAGCTGACTTGATGAATTAAAATTTGCTACTTACAAAAAAGTATCATGACATTATCTTCACAAAATTGTATTATCTTCGAATTAAGAAATTCCACTTCTGAATAAACCCAAAAGAAATGAAAACAGGTTATCAAAGAGAAATTTATATCTCCATATTCATAGCAGAATTATTTACAATAGCTAAAAGGTAGAAACATCCCATGTGTCCATTGAGGAAGAAAAAGATAAAGTTTGGTATACACGTGAATGGAATATTATTCAGGCTTAAGAAGAGAGAAAATTCTGACACATACTATGACATGGATGAAATTTGAAGACATTATTTTGTGAAATAATCCAGAAATAGAAGGACCAATACTGGGAATGTAAGTATGAGTTGTCAGAAACAGGCAAATACGTAGAACAGAAAAGTCTCTGTGGGTTATTATGTGGGTGGTTTTCAGGGGCAGGGGAAAGTTGAGAATGAGGAGTTATTGTTTAATGATACAAAGTTCAGTGTTGCAAGATGAACAGAGTTCTGAAGACAGTGATAATGGTTGCATAATAAGATGAATCTATTTAATGCCACTAACCTGTATAATAACAAGGGCTAAAATAGTAAATTTTATTCATATATTGCCATAATTAAAAATGATTTACTACCCTAAAACATTTACTACTTAATATTATGTAGATGGTACAATGGAATGTGGGTAGAGGTTGGGAAGGGTAGGCAGGGGAGGGTGCATATAAGGAGGTTGGATTTCATTAGTGCATTCTATTCATGTGTAAAAATATCACAATGAGCCCTTTAACATGTGCAATTTGCATGTGTTAATAAAAATGAAGTAAAATATAAGAAAGAATGAGAATATATTAAATTGTGTTTATTTAATAAAGCTATCCTAAAAACTATAATGTAATCAAGATGCAAAAGACTCAAGAGAAGGACTGCCTAGTGTGCGCAAGGCCCTGGGTTGCATCTGCAGCACTGGGGGTGTGGGGGTGGAAGCACAGGTGAAATCACTCCTGGGGCAAGTGCTGGTCTGTACTCAGAGACCTCACTCTTTGTAGTTCCTTTTTATGGGTATCTCTTCTGAAATTTGGCTGGTTTAGGTGACTCTCCAGGAATTTCCATGGACTATGATAGTCAAGCCAAAGTGACTCCATTTCGTTTTGTAACTCCATTTTGTAAAACAACCATGCCAAGTAGAAGGGTCATGACCAGGGCAAGATGTTCTTTTCCTTTTGCTATAGAAACCTTTAAGAACACAGAACTACCTAATGGGACATTGTTTCTGTAACTAGGGTAATGGGGCTCTGTTTCTGTAACTTGGATGACTGGGATAATTGTGATTGGCTGAGCATCCCTCCACCTGACTGCATTCTCCTGCTTCTGTAACTTGGCTTGCTTGCATTGGCTAGACCCCCAAATGTCCCTTTTGTGGTTTTCAGGCTTATAAAGAGCACCCTTGCAATTGTTCAGGAATGATCAGGGGAACAACTTTATGTTCTGGTCAGTTGCCACCAGTGTGCTTCAATAAAGGCTTGATTCGATTATACGTGAGTGGTCTGGAAGTTAATTTATGAAACCCCAGGATGAAGCTTTAACTATAACAGACTATGTTCTTGGAACTAATTTTCCAAATTGAAATGTGTTATCCATAGAAAGGTGGGACTGATGAAGCTGCTCCACCCTGACCAGAGGGATTAGTTTCCCACAGTATCATTGAACTTAAATGAAAGGGCCTATTTCCTTCCAACTCCTACCTCCTCAATGAGTCACTGGGAGTAGTGTGGGAAGATGGTTTATTCTGGTTTCAAGGCTCTGACCCAGTACCTTGGCAAATCCTTTGACAGTGAAAAGTGGGGAACCCAGAGGGACCACACCTAGAGACCAGGTTCCTCACAGAGCTTTCATCCTCAGGATCTACTCCAGGACCCTGTGCTTTGTAGATATTGTTTCTAAAAGAGCAAGGACTCAGATTCAACTCTTGGGAAAAGGAGAAAACCTCCTCTTATTAAAAAAAAATTGAAAATACCCACTTTGGGCCCCGGGAAAACAGATTGGGGAATAAAGTTGAAGGACATTTTGGAGGATCTCAAAAGAGAGGTGAAGTGTCCTTTTGTCTTAGGAAGAACATCCTGCATACAGGAATCAGGAATCACTTGGCTCCCTGCCAAGTGCCCAATTATTCATAATTTGAAGCTCTAGCTTACTCACATTTGGGTGTTTTATTTTTTTTTTTAATTTATTGTTGCATGATAGTTAAACATACTATTGGGTTCATTTTGACCTAAGTATGCAATCATGGAATTTAATTTGCTCCAATTCAAACCCAGTATTTCCCCTTTCCCTCTCTTCCCCCAATCTGTTTCCTCTATCCTATGGGTTTTTCATACATATATGAAAATATATAAAATATATATATATATATATATATATATATATATATATATATATATATATGAAAATCCCATAGGATAGAGTGAAAAGATATATTTATATATATTTTAAATTGGTGCATTATAGATGTACATAAAGGTGAAATTCACTGTGGTATATTCATATGTGTACATAGGATAGTTTGGTCAGTTTCATTCTGTTGTTCCTCCCTTCTCCTATCCTTCTTCCTTCCCCTTCAATCCCCTTTCTTTACTCCACTGATCTCTTTTCTATTTTGATGGTGTTCCCTGCCCTGCCTTTATCTAGCTTATTTCTAGAAATAAGACTCTGGCTTATTTCACTTAGCATGATGTTCTCCATTTCCATCCATTTGTTAGCAAATGCCATTATTTCATTCTTCTTTATGGCTGAATAAAACTCCATTGTGTACATATATGACATTTTCTTAGTCCATTTGTCTTTTGGCAGATATTTGGCTTATTCCATAACCTGGTTATGGTGACTTGCACTGCTATAAACGTTGATGTGGTTGTGTCACTGTAGTACACTGATTTTAAGTCCTTTGGATATATACTGAGTGGTGGGATAGATGAGTCAAATGGTACTATTATAAAGAATCTCCATACTGCTTTCCAGAGTAGTTGTACTAGTTACATTCCTACCAGCAATGTATAAATGTACCTTTTCCCCCACAACTTTTCCCACATTTACTTTTGATCTTATTCTTGATCGTTGCCCTTCTGACTGGAGTGACATGAAAGCTCAGTGTAGTTTTGACTAGCATTTCCCTTATGGTTAAAAATTGTGAACATTTTTTCTATATTTATTGGCCATTTGTATTTCTTTTTTTTTTTTTTTTGAGAAATCTCTATTCAGCTTTTTTCCCTTTTGGTATTAAGTTTTTAAAGTTCTTTATATATTCTGGATATTAATCCCTTTTCTGAGGAGCAGCTGGCAAAAATCTCCCATTCTGTAGGCTCTGTCTTCATGTTCTTAATTCATTTGGTTGAAGAAGCTTTTTAATTAGATGTTGTATTACTTATTAATTCTTGGTTTATTTCTTTGCATTAAAAGTCTGGTTAAGGATGTCAGTGCCTATGCCAATATGTTGGAGTGTTGGGGCTACATTTTCTTCTGGCACTTGCAGAGTTTATGGTATAATTCCTAGGTCTTCGATCCACTTTAAGTCAAGTTTTGTGCAGGTTAGAGACAGAGGTCTAGTTTTATTGTTCTCCATATGGATATCCAGTTTTACTAGCACCGTTTGCTAAAAAGGCTAATTTTTCTCCAATGTATGTTTTTAGCACCTCTGTCATGTACACATGACGGTATCTATGTATGTTTGTTTCTGTGTCTTTTATTCCATTGATCTTCATGTCTGTTTTGGTGCCAATACCATGCTGCTTTTGTTACTGTAGATCTGTAATATAATTTGAAGTCCAGTAGTATGATGCCTCTAGCATCACTCTTCTTGTTCAGGATTGCTGTGCTATTCTGGGTCTTCTATTATTCCAAATGAATTTTAGAACATTTTTTCTAGTTCTGTGAAGAATGTCATTGACATTTTAATAAGGATTACATTGAATCTGTACAATGCTTTTGATAGTATGGCCATTTTGACATTAATTCTGCCTATCCAATAACATGAGAGGTCTTTCCATCTTCTTGTATCTTTTTCAATTTATTTCTTTGATATTCTATAGTTTTTTTGTAGAGGTCTTTCACCTCTGTTATGGTTTAGATATGATATGTCTCTCAAAACTCATGTGTGAGTCAATGCAAAAGGATTTAGAGGTGAGATGATTGAATTATGAGAGCTTTAACCTACAGTGTGTTAATCAATTGATAGGGATTAACTGGAATGTAACCATAGATAGATAGGGTTGGCTGGAGGAGGTGGATCATTTGGAGTCTGTCTTT